TTAAAAGTGGACTACTAAGATATAACGGACTCGACTTCTTTGTTATTGATTGGAATGCCAATGATTTCCAAGCTGAACATGAAAATACTTACGAGATTCATCCTGTACTATAGGATGTATTTCATAATTGAAGTGACCACTAGGTTGGAAGGGATTATTCATTTTCAATTACAATTTCATACCCAATTTCATTTCAATTTAAGCGTTCATAGTTTTTTTCCTTTAGTAAGAGATATTGTGAAACAGCTTACCATGGATCTGAATGGGTTGCATGGGCTACTCTAGGAGTGTAACACAGATTCACTAACGGTGTGAACAATCAATACGTAAGTTCACAGCAGCAGACATGATTATTTTCGAGCATAAAAATCGTTGCAAATCGGCATTTGAGAATTTTTTGCTCAGTGAGCTCCGTCAATCTCAAAAATCAAGTCTTTTAGTCGGAATGGACGTTCAATAAATCTTGGCATATTGATAATCTCATTGAACTGTTTTCTTAGCCACGCACGAGATTGTTAGTAAACTTATTGGATGACTTTTTGGCAGGATAGCCTTCTTCAGAGCTTGAAATGAGCAAAACGAAATGCAATCTATCCGATCGAATGTTTTTCCAACCTCGCAGACGAAAATCTGAGATGCTGTTGGATCATTAGTGACTAGTGTTACTGCTTCCAATACTCACCTTCTGATCATGTCGATGTTCCTCTAGGGAGGGAAACGACTGCTCACTGACTAAATAGACAGGCAAATGACGATGGCTTTGCTAGGTCACTAGGCTCAAACTCCTATCTTATCTGGGTCAGAAGAATTGGCTCAGATAAGGAGGTAATCTAAATGAGAACATCGATGTTTTAGCGCAGGAGTCAAAATCGGGTGGCGGTCAAGATGAACGATAGCTTGTGCCAGACGCAAGCCGCCAACCGCATGCGGTGCACCAACTACCCCGCCCCTATAGTGAAAGCACAAGCTACGCAAAGGCAATGCGAAGCTCCGACAGCATGATCAATAGATGCTTGTAAATTGCTCGTAAAATTTGTTGAGAAGAAGTGCATTTGATGTGGAAACTTTGCAATGAATTCACCATTACATCCGCGTTAAATATCAGTTAACATGTCTTTACGTTTTACGTTTTTAAATTCTTTGCAGCAGCAGCGAGAAACTCAATCAAATTCAAAGCCAAAATCTTGAACGCTTTTTAGAGATAGCTGTGAATCGCTGTATCTGATATCTGCCATATTGCTCAACTATCAAAAGGTTTAATCTACCTTCTGAAGCATCTGCAGCTTTCATTTTTTGAACAAAAGGCGTCGTAATCTCATATCCATTGACCCTGTGTTCTAAGAAAGTTTGCTAATTTGTCCATTATGCTCTTGATGTCAAAATCACCAACTCGCAAGAGTTTTTAGGCATTTTGGATTCACGCAAAAGTACCCTAAATAAATCGAAAAGAAGACCTCAAATCACGCAGGAACTCCTACCCTATCTGCGTCAGCTCTTCTGACCTAGCGATGGCATATTCAGTGGTATGTCTACTTAATCAGTGAGCGATCGTTACTCTCTCCAAAGGAATATCCGCATAATCAAGGGATGACTATTAGGTCTAGCAATATCACTAACTAATGATCCAACAGTATCTTAGATAGTAGAAAAGACGTTTAATCGGGTAGTCTGCATTCCATTCCCCCCATATAAGGCTCTGAAGAATGCCATATTAACACTATCGTGCGTGGCTAAAAATACAATACTATGAGTCAGTTTTATTTGGCATGGCCTCAATATAAGGTTACTGTAGATGATAGGTAGGAGGTCGAAATCATGTATCTGCCCCAAATGGATTACTGAGGTTGTTTGAATGAAAAA